CGCACAGACTGGGAGACAGGGAGCGGGTGTGTGTGTGTATATATGTGTGTGCGCTGCTGCATTTCGTCCGGCCGCGAAGCTGCTCCAAAACACGGGCTGCGAGCGGGGCTCGTTGGCGTCCCCGCCGCGGAGGTGCGTGTCCGGGTGAGAGGGGAAAGAGAGACAGGCGCAGAGGGGGGGGGTCCGCGCTGCGTGAGACCAGCCCAGAGCTGGCACTCGGAGTGGACTGAGAGCCATCTCGCCCCCCACACCCCTGCTCCACGATATGCTGCTGCTCAGACTCGGCTCGCCGGCTGCGGAGGGCTCGCTGCTCCTGTCGGGTGAAGACAGCTCCCCAGGGACGTCGGACTCGGTAATGAAGGGGCTGACTTGGTGGTGGTGAACTAATAGGCGTGCATCTTTTTTTTTGTTTTTGTTGTTTTAAAGAAAACTAAAGCGTCGCTCGTGCATCGGCCCCGGCAACTTCTCGCGACCCCGTTGCTAAGTCTTTAACGTTTTATTATATATATATATTTTAAAACACCCATCTTTCCGAAGCAAACTGCAGATTGTGGATGATCCAGCGGTTGTTCTGTGTGATGTTTCGTTCAAGGCGTTTTGCCAAAAATCCATGGAGTTTGTTTTTATTTCCCCTGAACACAAGGTTTGTGCAACTGACTGACCAAACCACCCGGCGCGGGGTGGTTCAAAACCGGCTCCGGGGCAGGGGGCAGGAGCCGAGAGTCGGCTTTGCCTGTGTTGGGTGGGTTTGTTCCCCCCACTCTCCCTGGCTCTCTCCTCACGCGTGGTGTGTTTCTGTCCGCAGAGCTGCAACCGGCCGGACCGGAGAACGAGGAGGCGAGAGAAGAACCGGGAAGCGGCTCAGAAGAGTCGCAAAAAGCAGACGGAGAGAGCCGACACTCTGCACAAGGTAACGGACAGCCGCCCTGTTCGATTAATCGATAGGTCTAGGTGGGTTATCGGGGGGGGGGGGGCGGCCTGAGACGCAGATCCGAGAGAGACTTCTTTTCCTGGACTCTGTCATTCGGCTGTGACCTCGTCTTTTCCTTTCTCCTTCCTGAGAAGTTACTTTTACGGGCGCTCGGGAAAGGCAAAGTTGTTCTCTTATCATCGTCATCTTCTTCATCATCATCATCATCATCTCTCCTCTCCTCCCTCTGCGGCCGCACGCTGACATTTCTGGCGGGGGGGCGGGGTTGCGCAACAGGCGCGGGGGCTCCGGTTGAGCAACCGAGGCGCCGGCTGACATCAGGTCGCGCTACTCCTCCGCAAACTCCCCCCTCCCCCCTTCCTCTCTCCCTCTCCTCCTCCTCCTCCTCCTGCTCCTCTCCTGTCGAGAGCCACCGGCGTCGCGCGCTTGCCTCCCCGGCGAGGGAGATTCCCAGCAGGAAGCGGGTCAGCACCCTTCCTCCCTCCCCCCTGATCCCGGAGATTAGGAAAGACACGCCGGGCCACCCGCGTCCTGTCCGAGGCTCCGTCGTCGCCTTCTTGTCGGTCAAGAATTCAAGGCGAAGGAACACCCGGGGCTTTTTATTAATATGAAAACGACTTCAGTCACAGGCGGCCGGTTGAGA